TTTAAACAGCAAGGCCGAGTGAGAGCATGCACGTGTGGTGGGTACTCGTGCAACGCCATTCTGCAATCAAGCAACCTCTTTATGTCGCCTCCTCTCCACTCGTCTCATCTCCTCCTCTCCTCCTCTCCTCCTCTCCTCCTCTCCTCTTCTCCTCTCGCCTCTCCTCCTCTTCTCCTCTCCTCCTCTCCTCCTCTCCTCTCCACCTCTTCCTTCCTTCCCTCCTGCCAGTGTCACGTCACACTGCCTCACTAACCCCCCTCATCACTTCCCCGTGCACCTCTCTGTCATCCTCTCCACCGCACTGCACCTCACCGCACAGCTGGATGGTGCCAACAGTGATCGCATGGGGCAAGGACGACCCATACATCCCCATCACAGAAGCCCAGGCCATTGCCAAGACCAACTCTTCATCAGTCACTCTCCGGGTGCTGGAGGGGGCTGGGCACACGCCGCAGGAGGACTGGTGAGTTGGGGGCGGGTGGAGGAGGGCAGAGCTACATGGGTTGTGGGGTAGAGGGAGAGAGGGGTGCAATAGGAGGGGCAAGGACGAGCTGTATATCCCCATGATAGAGGCTTGGGCTATTGACAAGGCCAAGTCCGCTGTCACTCCGCTGCAGTGGTATAGAGGGGTAGAGGGTTAGAGAGGGAGAGGGGGTAGAGGGATAGAAGGACAGAGGAATGGCCTTTGAGGGCACAGAGGGCGGAGGGTGCATGCCGCAGGATGACTGGTGGGCTGATTAGGTGGAAGAGGATAGGAGGGATAGGAGGGCATGGATCCCCTTTAGGTGGACGGATCTTCTGAGCCATCACAGATGACAGCATGATACACACACCACGAGGACTCTGATCTCTTCCCGAATGGGAGGACGATGGAGTGAGTGGCAGCACGGTAGACGGGTAGGGTGGTGGAGTGGTAGGCGGTAAGAGGGTAAAAGGATTGGTGCATGTCAGGACGACTGGTGAACTGGGGGAGTGGCAGGAGTAGGTGGCATGGGTTGGGTTGGTTGGTGATAGGAATGATTCCCACTTCTGAGATGCCTCAAAAATAAGCTGTGAAGGAGAGATGGGGTGGTAGCAAGAAATGACCCTTGCATGCCCATCAGCTCAAACTGTAGTGTACGTGCTGCCTACTGCTCAGAGTGTAGCACATGCTGCCAGACATCTAGCTTACCTTCTCCTGTTATACTGAATGTTCCAACCCATGCTGACACATGCAGGTCGGAGAAAGTGGTGGACAGCCTTCGAGTCTCCTTCAATTGAGCTGGCCATGGATGAAAGAATGATGCTATCCTACTGTCCCTTTCTTCACATGGCTTCATAATGGCTGTCTTGATTGTTCTCATACAAGAAAGATTGTTTCTAAGTGTTCAGAAGTACCATACCACCGAAATCTTATGCAATCGAAGGCACAACAAACTATGTGACAGGACATCACCTAAGTTATAGTAGTTATCACATTCCTAGCAAACTTCGGAACTGTTAGTGAAAGTTATTTGGGGCGGCAGCAATTCGCTGAGGCAATGTCTGACAAAGCGTTGGCAATAGAAGTATAATAGCACTGGCAATAGAAGTACAAAAGCACTGGCAATAGAAGCACAATGCACTGGCAATGGAGGATTGACTAACCCATGTGCAATTCGCTATTCACATGGTACCGTTCTCCACCCGTCTTCAAAGTTGTAGTGCAAAAAGCAATGTCATAGCAACTCAACGTCGCAAGGTAGTCAGTTTGTGTGCTGGACAATGAGACCCTTATTTGTTCATCGGTACAAGGGAGGGAACCATTACGCTTTGGATGCACATCCGAAACCCAGCGGGGTGTAGCTTCTCGCATTGTCGCCGGTAATGCCGACTCTCGGAGCAGACCCTTGTGTAAAACAAATGCGTGTTTAAGAAAGCGTTGTTTTTTTTTGGTTTAATAGTGACTGCATCCGGTCTACAACAAGTACCTTGCCTATACACAGTAAGGTTATGCGAGCTATTTAGGCAATGGCGCTCGTGTTGACGATGAGGAGCGCACCGATGGCGAGGAGACCGCCGAAGGTGAGGAACCACAGGAGCAGACCAGCCTTGCCTGTACGGATCAAACGATGGTCAGTTAGATTTACTATACTGTAAATTGAGAAGTTAAATATCAACTACAGGTGCAAGTACTTACCACCCTCGTAGGTGTCACCCTTCGCGGACCACTCCTCGGGGGTCCAGATGGGGCTGTAACCATCGACGTTGGCACCGTACTTCTTGGCGAAGACGAAAGCACCCTTGCCCTTGGAAGGAGAGCCGGAGGGGTCCACCTTGAACTTGTAGTCACCGCTGAGGCCTGCACGGAAGGCGTAACAGCAAGCACAGAGTTGGGAGTCAGCAAAGACTCAGCTGTTTCTCCGATTGCTTTCATTCTCTATGGGACCGCTGCCAGCCTAATTGAGCTATTTAGTGAAAATACTAACCCAGGGGGGTCTTGGTTTGGATCTTCTTGCCACCGCTGGCGGTCACCTTCAGGCTGCGGGTCGCAGAGACGGTCTTCCTGGCGGGGAGGCTGGGAAGAGCGACGCCCGCGAAGGTGCTGGAGAGAGCGGCGGTGGCAGCCATGGCTACGGTGTGTTTGGTGACAACGAAGGGTGAAGCAAAGAGCGGTTGGGTGGATGATTTCACAGGGATGCTCGAAGCTTAACGAATTCTGAGGGTGTGGGACAATATGACCCCCCCAGGATGGTTTTCCCAATGTTTTCGACTATCTGCCCGAATCGGCCCACCAATCCGCCTCGAAGGTCAGCTATTGGTTCGTAGGAGGCACGAATGACGCCAACTAGTTCCAGGGCAGGAAAAAAAAAGGTTGCCGACATCGCTATCAGGTTGAAAGCGAAGGCTATCTGGATGAGCAATAAGGGATTGCCACGTCACGAGAACTTCGAAATGACCGAGTCTTTCTGATCCACGCTGGGACACATTCCTGCCACACCCTCCACGAACCCCGTAACTGGGTCCCTGCCCTGCTGACCTTCAATTTTGAGACTTGTTCGTGATCGCCGAAATGCGCGAAACTGGCGGCTATCGCATGGACTCGTCGCAACTGAAAGCTTGTGAGATTGTAACTCCCAACCTCTTCTTAAACATAACTCAGTAAAAATGAACTGAACTCCCATGAATTTCTCATGCATGCCGGCATGGAACAAACCAACCATTTTACAGGATTGTTGTTGTAAAAGCTGATGTTTTTATTCATATGGTAGATGAATTTTGTTGCGATCAAAAGGTTGATCGTGCATAGGATCGCACAAGGAAGGTTCGCAGAGAGTGTATTGTAGCAAAAGTGTTCACCCCAGGTCAGAGTGAATTTAAAATGAAAGAGATGATAAAAAACAAGGGCATAAATTATATTATATAGTAATGCAAAGCGCACTGTGTTTCTCAAGTTACTATTCCTGACATCCCCCTTCATTCCTCACTGTAGCAAGTCTTGACCCGCTTGACTACTCCGCTGAGTTCGGAGCAGTGCTGGTACTGCTGACGAGGTAGTCACTTCGTGAGGATATCGGCTGCCATGTCACCCATTGGGTAATAGGTCAGATCGGCCTTGCCCTTGTCAACTTCGTCTTTGGGAAAAAAGTACCGCAACGCAATATGTTTGATGATGTTGATGAAACCCGGATTGTACGCGACTCTGATCGCGCTCTTGTTGTTGCAGCGTAGACGAAAGGTTGGCAAAAAAGGGATTTTTGAGAAGAATAGAACGAGAATGAGTGAACTATGAGTGAAGTGGGTACAAGTACTAACCCTAATTGGGTTGTACCCCCTATAGGATACCCCACTATAGCCTACACAAAAGCATAAGCTATAATGTTCTGACACACCCCCATAGGCAAAGTGGGGGAGAACAAGGGGTCACAAGACCAGTCAAGCAAAGCAAAGCAAAGCAAGCTCAGGGTGGATCACAACGTCACCACACAGTCCGAGCACAAGGTCAAGGCCACAAGGCCAGTTCACATGCAGGAGTGCACATATATATATAACACTAAACAAGCAAGAGCAGGTATAAATATATGTGCAAGAGTACAAGTAAGATCAAGAGGTGAGCAACTGAGGTAAGACAGGTACAAGTCCCAGCTGAGTGCAGAAGCGCTGATGATCACAAGGCGGAAGTGCCTTGGTGAAAACATCAGCAGTGTTGGCCTCAAAGGTCACGTACGCAAGTCGCAACTGACCACGCTGCTGCAGCTCACGAGCAAGAAAGTAGCGGAGAGCAATGTGCTTCGTTCTGTGCTCCAAGCGCTGCTCTCGACACAAGGCCAGCATGGCCTTGTTGTCTACGTACAGCACTGGAGGAGAACGAGGCGGCTCTCCAAGGTCAGTCAGCAGGTAGGTGAGCCAGCGAAGCTCCTGTGCAGCCATGGCCCCGGCGTAGATCTCAGCCTCACAACTGGAGCCGAGAACAGAAGACAAGCGAGTAGCCCGCCACGAAACACAGCCGGAACCAAGGCTGAAGGTGTAACCCTGCGACGACCGCTGCGTAGCCTGGTCGTCAGCCCAAGAAGCGTCCGCGTGCCCAGTGAGGACCACTGGACTCCGCCCTCCAAGCACTAGCCCCATGCCCGACGTACTGCACAAGTAGCGCAACACCCTCTTCGCTGCAGCCATGTGCTCTGGTCGGTGTCTCCCAGGAGCAACATAGCGTGCCAAGATGCTAAGAGGGTATGCAAGGTCAGGTCGTGTGCAGGTCATCAGGTACATGAGGCAGCCAACAAGCTCTGGGTACGGGCCACTCGACTCTACGGACTCATCCGAAGGCAGAGCTGAGAGCGAGTGGCGAGTAGACAGAGGAGTGGCCTGAGGCGAGGAGTACGTGAAGCCGAAGCGCTGAAGGACCTGCTGCACCATGTGTGACTGAGTCAAGGTAATGGTGCGGCGTGCTCTGTCCGGAGTGATCTGCAAGCCAAGGTAGCTGCGCAGTTCACCCAGGTCTGTGCACGTGTGTCTCTTCTGCAGCTCGGACTTCACGTAGGCGAGTCCAGCAGTGTCCGCTGTGGCAAAGACCAAGTCGTCGACGTACACGAGGATGTAGAACGGCGGCAGTGAAGTGTCGGTGCGCAGAAACAACGACGGGTCAGCAGTAGAGGGAGCAAACCCAAGAGCCGCAAGCGTAGTCCTCAGTGTGTCGTGCCACTCACACGGTGCGTGGCGGAGACCGTAGACTCGCCGTCGGAGGCTCCACTGGGTGCCAGGAGGGAAAGTCCCAGTGAAGCCAGGTGGACGGCGCAGCCAGATCTCCTCGTGCAGGCTACCCTGCAAGAAAACAGTGCTGAAGTCAAGAGAGTGGAGCTCGTAGTCGCGCTGAGCGGCTATGTGCAGCAGCACCCGAAGAGTGGTCATCTTTGGGGTGGGAGAGAAGGTCTGAAAGTAGTCAACTCCCTGCCGTTGACTGAAGCCACGAGCCACGTACCGCGCCTTGAAGACAGGTGGAGAGCCCGGCGGCCGCTTCACCCTGAAGATCCACATGCCACTGACGATGTTCGCCCCAGGAGGGGGAACCGCGTCAACGTAGGTGCCTGTGGACTTCCAGGAAGCCATCTCTGCATCCATAGCTGCCTGCCACTAAGAGGAGTAGGGACCCTCTACGGCCTCCGCGTAAGAGCGCGGAGTCGGGATGTCTAGTGCATCCGGGTCTCCCTTAGGGGCAAGCAGTACAGACGCGAGATGAGGTGAAGTAGCAGCCAGACACTGAAACTCCTCCTGCCTGTCCTCAAGGACGTCCGTGCCAAGGGCACACTCACCCCCAACGGACGGAGGACAGACAGACGCAGACTCAGCAACAAGACTGGCAGCGTAGTCTAGACGACAGCGAGCAGCAAAGTCGACGAGCTCAGCAACAAGAGCAGACGCAGCAGTGGACTCAAAGGAGGGGTCAGTGACGACAGTAGCAAGGAGACGCGTGACAGTAGGACTGGCAGCACGAAGAGAGTCCGACTCAGGGTCGGCAAGCGCAGGAAGAGAGGACTCAAGAGGAACCACCAGCAGGAAGTAGCGCTCGTGACCCTGCCCACGGACGCGGGCCGGGCCCCACACGTCCATGTGAAGTGTCTGCAGAGGAGCCTCTGTCGGGGGAAACTGGGAGGAGTGAGGAGCAGCCCGGAGGCGCCCCTCGACACAGGGGACACAGGAAGGTCCTGGTCCCGAAGGAAGGGGAGGGAGAGACCGGGGGAGACCAGAGACAAGGACACGGGAAGCTATGCCCCGAAGACGAGGCAAGGAGGGGTGGCCAAGAC